AGTGTTCTACCCATGACTACCACTGACTATTCTCACTCTGGTCCTTCCGCTTCTTCTTCCAAACTGACTGAAGAGGGGCATTTTAATAAGCCTTGCGATTCGGGTGAAACTTCGAACACTGGAGTAAGGTGTGTCGATACCGGAAATGCGGAAATCAAGCAGAACAGCAAAGGTCCTCGCCCGACCCCACCAGTGCGCACAGTTTCCAACACGATTCCTGATGGCGTCGATAATAAGAATATCTTAGATAATGTTGGTATGTGTTCCCCCACAAAGTAGTGCATTTAAAGAGAGGTAATTTAGGGCTGACCTTTGTTGTGCAGCCTACTTATACATATATGATACTAAAGTCTTTAGTCTAATATTTTTGTTAGACCAAATTTTTTGGCAGGTATTTGGCTGCAAGTTATAAATTCTTCCTAGCGTCTTTTAGATCATCTACTTTCCCTATCTTTTCATCCAACCAATTTTTCATTATTTATTTGAAGTTATCCATATAATGCAGGAGCACAAGCTAGAGGCATGATATCAATAAATATTTATTATCAAATTTCTAGTCCTGAGTTTGCAACCTTGTGTATCACTGTCACTGTACGATAATAGTGTCAGAATTGAAGTCATTGCTGATGTCGTTTCTTGCAATAATTTTTGGCGTACTTCCTCAAGTCGTCTCCAATTTTATTTTCAAAATCTTTTTTGAACTTCTATTAATTTTGAATAAATTAGTTCTTTTTTCATTCCAACTGACCCACCGCCCGAAAATTTTCTCTGCGGAGAACTTGTGGAATTTTCGATAATAAGTTATTTGGAACCCTTTGGCACCACGAATAAATGAAGTAGGAATAGGTGCTCGAACACTCCATCAATATGCAGACTCGTCTGCCTACTATGCGATCCAAACAGGGTTCAGGCTCAGAAAAACCTACTGGTACTCTAACACCTTTTTGTATGTTGCCAGCTTTTCTCCAACTTAAAAGCCTCTATGCTGAGGCTATCAACATTTTAAGTACGTCTCTGAGGTATTAATACGAAGGTCTATATTGGGCTTGTTTACCCTTGCTAATCCTAATTTTTGAACATTTGTGTTGCAACGATTCTTTAATGCATTATCTTTTATGCTCATTGTGTATGCTAACATAACGTCGCTGGCCCGTTTAGCTCCTAGTGCGGAAACTCTTGCCTCGAGCAACGCAGACATAACGTAAGTCCAATTTCACTAGAAGAAGAGTTTATAGCGAAAATCGCGTTATTATTCTGTTTACAAAATATTTCATCATTGAAACAGTGCCTGTATGTTAATTGGTGGGCTAGTTCAGAATGACTGCGTTTTCGTTTTGTTTCGCTCTAAGTAATGAATATGTTGACTTAGGAGTTACATGCCCGTAACAATTTTGACTTTACTAATCCATTGCAACACCGTTGAAAAATGCTTATTTTGGTTTCAGACCTCTTAGCAACTTTTCTGCAAAGGAGGTAAGTTTTGCATCAGGAAATCCGCCTGGAGTAGCACGTTATACGTTCGATTTCGTCTTGGAGGCTCTTCAGATAAACCACCTAGTTCAAGGATCTTACCCATTCTGAAGTAATTTTAGGTTGATTTCCAACTGGATTACACGAGGTTATTGCCTCGTGCTAGATAGTGATTTGCCTTTAAAGCTTTTATCATACCATGTCGTGCTCGAACGGTCAGTCTCATGAATTTTTTTAGGGTTGTGAGGTCTTTTATCTTACCCAGCAAATACGTTTTTGCTACAAACATGCAACTGTTTATTTGGCAAATAAAACCGGCTAAATGTGCGGTCTTTTGGATTAGCTACAAATGTAGGTACTGATTGATCTTGTTGCTTTTATTATAGCAGTCAGTAGATGGCCAATTCACTCGTGAGAGTCGGTCACGTCGCAATAGCAATAGTTCGGCTGCGACGTTTGATCTGGCTTCTGGGAATCCTTCACTCCTACCTGAAGTTGAATCCGAAGCCCCACTCTCCACCGACGAAGAGTTGACTAGTTTGCGTGCAGACAAGGAGCACCTTACCACGATCGTCGCTGATATGCAGTGCGATTTTTTTAACGGTTGCCTTGTATCTTTCATCCTGCATTTTGCCTGTGTTACTTTCTTTTGGAAATTTGCTTGATTCTTTGTATATGCAAATTGTCAGGGCTCACTATTTGTGTAACAAGCTTTTGAACTATCTAAAACTTATGCTTTAACTTAGTCACTAAAGCTATTTCCCTTTCAAATAACATTTTATAAATCATGCACTAATCGACTTGAGCCTCGTAGACGTAACCACATGCTTTGTGATGTGTGCTCCACCGTTCGATGCATAATTATCATTGTTTTTTTACGCGAGGTCCGGCTTTTTCCTTGAGGCTCGTGTTATAAGACCTATGGCTCTTGCAGTAAAAGTTACAAAACTCCAACTTTTCTGTTTTATCCGAGTTGGTATATACACTTATTTTAATGAATCTTTCTAAATATGGATGGCGTATCGTTGCTATTTGTCCAAAAGCACCAAGGATAATTAGTTTCACATGTAGTTGGCTCATTGTTTGGGGAACTGTTTTCCGCCTTATTTGGATAATATGCTTGCTGCTAGCGGCGTGGCCTATGCATTAAATCATCATCTCACAAGCCTCAAGAATTGCTTTAGGGTCGTTTTCTGTCTATTTGAAACTTTACCTGTTTTTATCGGCGCTGATATTTAATGCACTTGCTTTCTTTTACATATCCAGGTTGCTTATCTCGACATCTTTATCAATATCCAGTCTTACGTGTTTGGTTGCCCATTCGTAGACGATGCATTGCTGAATACGAGCGGAGTTTGCGCCAGCTGGCTGAGGAAAAGGCGCGTGCAGAAGAATCGGCTAAGGAGTCCGTGATCGATATAATTTCAGAACGTGACCAAGCCATTGAGGAAATCTCTACAATTGAAAAGGCTTTCGGTGATCTTCATCGTCGATTCGAAAAGTCCAAACAAATAATTGAGGGCTTTAAATCGGTGGGTATTCTGTTATTTAGTTTCCGATTAGGTGTTCCCAGTCGAAAGCCAGATCCTTTGCCACCTAAATATAAACGCCCATGCTCTGTAACGTTGTTCCGAGTCTAATCTGAAGGGTTCATTGTTTTTGTGCTTGCAACTATCGCTTGCCTAGAACGAAGAAGCTTTGAAAAGGACAGCACAAGAATATCAGGAACAGTTAAAACGGCAGGAACAAAGATATCAGGCTCTTAAAGTGCATGCTGAACAGCAAATAACAAAGTACGTAACATTCATAATCTCATAGGCTTGTTTCTTTTTTGTGATTTGAAATGCATCCGCCCTGTTATTACATTTGTTTAGGGTTGAAGTAAGCAGGCGGCTAGCCGCATTTAGACTGAAAGCTGCACATCAAAGTGCACCGTATTTTTTGAAGCAAACATGCCTAAATTGTATTTTGAACATATTTTCAGTGAAGATTCATAAGATGTGATGCACAATAACCAAATTGTCACTGCTCCGTACGAACAGTATGCTTCAAGATTCCGGCAAACTTGCTTTTCTGACTTTGTTAGAATCGCTGAGGAGACCGAAAGGACTAAGCGTGCCAATGAAGATGAAGTAACTCGACTTCGAGCAGCAATCAAACGCTCCGAACTGAGGATTCATAGTCTTGAATCGCAGCTGGAGCAGAAGGTATACTTGTTCAATTCACCTCCCTTTTTCCAGCTCTTGAGAATTTCAATTCCTAGACCCGAGCATCTCGATTGGACACTTGTTTGACACGGAATGTAATGTGCAAATCTCGTGGTTTGTGTTAAAACTTGACTTTCCTTTACAGGTTCGCGAGAATACCGAATTGACGAAAATTTGTGATGAACTCCTGAGTAAATACGGAGACAAATAATAAAACAGTTCTTAAAGTTGTTCAGTGTTAAATGTGGGGTTTTCGGTGGTGGCGCTGTATTGTTTCATTTCATCTCTGGGGTGAGGTGGGTGGGTTTTCGGATTTTTTCGGCAGCGTGGGTGTTGTGCTTCCAGTGTGATGCCGGGCTCTCGATTCATCTCCTGGTCGGCTGCACTGTTCTCCGCTGTAGCTCTCCGTGTTTACATATTCGTTGCTAGAACGTGCAACACTTGGCTGACAGACAAACGGAAAGGGGATGGACTGGGATCCTTGTGTCCCTCAAGGGCTGGTATTCCAACGTCTGAGGGGTGTGGTATGGTTGACCTGGTGGCCAAGACTCACACGGCTTGAACAGTGTTAGGACAGCAAGGAATTCGGTGAGGGATTGTGGAGTTAAGGGTTTTGTGGGTGCCTCGTATCGAGTCGGTGTAGCTTCGCGAGTGTTAGAGGTTCGAACGCAGACTTGCAATCGTGGATAGAATTAGTCTTTTTAAGCAGGGAACGATGCTTCAGTGACTGGTGAGATGACTCGTGGCGCGGTAGGAAGCAGGAATATGATCAGTCGCCATTTTTAATTCACAGTCAAAGCAAAATGAAACTGAATTTAAAATAAGTATACAAAATTTGACAAGCAGTAAATATATGACGGTTTTTTTAACTTGTTTATACTACCTAATATTTTAAATATTTTATTCAGACCAATCAGTGGTCGAGAATTTCTAGTTGTGTGATGAGCGGCAATGGGCGGGTGTCATTTGGTTTTAGCAGATCGGCCAGTAGGACTAAGATACTGCAGCATTTAGGATCGCCGGATGAAGCTGAGCCGAAGAAAAATCCTGTTACCTACGTTACATCGTATGAAACTTGTGCTCCGCAGAGGTGAATTTCGAACACCGTTTTATCCTTTGTGCAGCTATTGCCAGTCGTCTAAATATTTCTTGTTCACAATTTGTCGGCATTAAGGTCTTGTGTCTTTACTGTAAATACATGATTTTTTAGATTCTATAAGTCTTGCACTCTCAAAATAAGTGCTCTCGTGTTTTCAACTCCAAGTATTTGTTATCTTAGCGAATCAGGTTTTCCCAACAGCAGAGTTGTTATTCCCCTTCGGATATCTTGTTCAAACATACTCGAGCGGCTGGAAAAAAGATCAGTCGAATCGGACGCCTCTGATAAGTTGACTGTTGGGTCCTTCAAATCTCCTGGTAATATTGACATCGATTTTAACCGCATTAGAGATCTCAAATCTCGTTACTGTTGAATCGGCTAAGAAAAACAGCATTGTCACTGGGTCATTTGAGAATGCAGGTTCATCCGTTGAAGACGCAGTTGATCCTGATTATGATCAAGTTCCTGTTGAAGGTTTCGGATTGGCTTTGCTGAAGGGGATGGGGTTGGATGAAGACGAAATGAAGCAGCAAACTTCAAAGTGCGCCTTATTTTAGGATTCATTAAGGGGTCTAGGAGCTTTGCTGCCAAAATGCGTTTGAAAGGACTTGGACTTGGTGCTGATCATAATGTACTTCTGAAATCAAGGAAGGCGGAGTATACCGATGAGGAAAAGCTGATTTGGAAGGTGGGGGCCAAGTGCCAAATAGTTTATGGTCGCAATGAAGGTCAATATGGGATTGTAAGTGCTTTGTACCCCCTGTATTCCGCGTAATGTGTTAAGTCTCGCGTTCATGCTGTTTACTTCAGATACAAGGCATGGATGGCGATATTGGCCGTGTTATGGTCAAGCTGGCGAAGACCAAGCAAATTATCAAAGTAATGCAGGCAACCGTGCGTCTTGTTTCATCTTCTGAGTTCGAGAATTTTGGATACGACTTAAGTGAGGCTTGCCTACGTTTAAAACAGCCTTGCGCTTTGACATCGGTTATTTTATCGACTGCTTTTTTGGTACTTTTCGTAATTTTGCGTTTGTCGATATAATTACTGCATTTAAATACGTTCACTCGTCTATTAACATTTTCCCCACTCTCCTGACTCATGCGTAGCCATATTTTGTACGTACAATTTCTGCTCCTATAGGTTCCAGGATTTGATGTTCCCCTTGTTAACAGATATAGGTGGGGCAAAGGATTTCAAGTTTGATGATACCTTGGGGTGGAAGTGCGCTCAACGTGTCAGGAACGAGGGCGATGGTCGAGGTGAAGGTATGGTGGAAATGTGCCCTTCGAAACGCAGAAAGGAAGATGAACTGAATCAGCCATTATCGTTAGTTCTCTTCATTTGAAATCGATACTCAATTGCTTTGCATTCGTATTCGCTTAATACCTTTTAGCGGTCATCGGTCAACTTGGCTTCAAAAAGGTCTTATTGTACGTTATCTCAACAAAGAGAGCAAGTACTACTTACGGAAGGTAGCTCTGACTCGTATACAATCTTGCGCTATTACTTTTGGTGTTACCATTGGTTAAATTTCGTGATTCTTGCGTCCATTGTGACAATTAATGCAAAATCTGAAGTTTGCTATCGTGCTTCAACACTCTTCATTGCCGTGTGATGCTAGTAAGCCAAAAGCATTTTATTGATAATTGATAAGGCAATGAGTGAGATAGTGCCCCAATTAGATCACTTGCATTTAAATCGTCTCACGTTGTAATTTTGTTCAATTTTTACCTTCTTTTGTGGTAGATCGAAATTCTCTCTGTTTCTGGGTCCGAATCTCAATCTTGTCGATGCTCTTGCGAAACTGAAAGTGGGCATACTTTACGAGGTAATTTTTTCTGCAAATTGTGTAGTGAGTGATGACTTTTCCGATTGACATTTTCCACATGTACTAATAAGTCGAGTCTAAGGTATAATAATTCCCTAGATTTTGTACATTTAGTAGAAGTCATCCCACTTTCGGTTTTTTGCTGTGCTGCTTGAATCCTTGTACTTGCTTTGAAGCTCATGTTTCTAATGCTTTTTTAACAATCGGAATTATCTCTTAAAGCTTCCTACCCTATCATGCGGGTGTTTTCTAATAAGTTTTTAACTGTAATCGTATTTACAAGTTTTCTGTATGATTTTGTGAAGCGGGGACTTTTACCTGTTCGTACGTTTACATCTTCCTACATAGGTCTTCACTGGCTTTTGCTGGTGATTATTCTTGTTACTGCGGAGTTTTTGCCAATTTTACAGGTATTCCTGAGGATGAGTTAGAGCCTACCGTTCCAAAACGCTTGGGTGACCTGTTAGTCGTTATTCGAGGGCAATATTCGGGCAGAACTGGTAGATTGGTAGAGCGCAGCCATGGTTCATTCCGGGCTCGCGTATCCCTTGATACCACGGGGGAAGAAGTGTTTCTCAACTACGATGATATGTGCTGTCTGGGAAACCATTGCTGATGTACCACATTTGTAAATACACTGTTTTACCTCAGCCTCTTGGGTGCTGCAAGGGCCTACCTCCGGGTCGGGTTCTGTGGCGTTCCTTCCTCTGGGGGGTAACTGTGTCGTCAATTACAACAGCAGAAGTGGTAATTCCTCGTGGGGGTGGTTCGAATTTCAAATTGCCTCAGTACGTGTTTAAGAGTAAGTTCACCGTAATTTACTACAGTGAGTGTCGATCTCTTAGGACTAACCCCTATTTATTTAAAATAAAACGCGGCTGTGTGCGAGTTTAAATTTAAGCTTTCTTCACTTGTACCCCCGAAAAATAAATTGAATCCTTACAAATTTCTGTCATGTAGCTTATCTCTATTTATCCATCGATGGGTAGTGACTTGAACTAGCCCAGTTTATCACATTGGTGTGCTTTGACCCTATTTAATATGTTCAAAAAGTGCGTTCTTCTGGTCCCTTAGTAGTATTCTTTGAGGTTTAACGAAAAGGAAAACATATCATCTGTGAATACAGCGAAAAATTCGGTATCCAAGGCCATAAGAAGTAGAGTTACAGAGAACCTTGAAATCGCAAAGGACTACCTTGAGAGGATTTTGCCTAGGAAGGAGCCACTGAAGCTGCTTAAGTGGTAGATTCCCACCTTCCATTCGTAGTTTTAGTCATGATCACATTGAACTTTTTGCGGATCCGTCTGGTGAGGTGATATTCTTCCGCCAGCGTGATGGTCCTTTTGTACCTTCGTTAAAACTTCTGCATAAATGTAACTGTTATTTGTGCTCTTTCACTCAATTATGGTAACTAACTGGGTTTTTTTCATCATTTGAAAACTCATTTTCTACCTGCAGACCCATTTCTGCTCCCTCAGTTACAAATTGACCGTGGTGCTATCAAACATGTATTGAACGGATCCAATATAATGTGCCCCGGTCTCACTTCTCCTGGAGCCAAGTTGTGTGATGTACCTGCAAACACCGTTGTGGCAATAATGGCTGAAGGGAAAGAAAACGCTGTGGCTGTTGGTGTTACGGTGTTGTCTACTCGCGAAATGTACCTCATTTTCTTCTATATTTTTATCTTCTCTAGGCTCGATGTTAACAAGAATGTTGGTGTGGAAACTTTGCACTACCTGAATGATGGTCTGTGGCAGATGAAGCCCGTTCGGTGATCAAAAAATTTTGAAATTTACTGTGCAGTGACACTGACAACCACGTCTACGTCGCAAAATACATCCTTTTTGTCTGTCTGTTTGTGCTGACAGTTATTTTCCTAAAGCTTAGAAGACTAGTCTGGTCGGGATTTTTTGGGATCGCTTAATATCCTACTAGTTTGTCCCCTCAAAATATGTGCATGTTGTTTTCTTAGGTTATAAATTAGTTTCAAACACAGTCGTTGTTTGTCGAATGTGGCTTATTCCGTTTTTCATTGTCAATAGTTTTAGTAGGAGGAGGGGCGAAGTCTTGTTATCCAATGCGCTCTTTGCGGCCGCTCAAAGTGAGTAAATATGCTTGTTTTGAGGGCTGCTGCCCTTGTTCAATGTCATTCTTTGTGTGTACTAGGCTGTCTTTCTTTCAGAAATATTGCTTACTCATTCTAGCGACATCCATACTGATTCTTACTGCATGGAGCATTATTCAACCAGATTGCAAATCTCCATCCAAAATCTCAGTCAATCATACACTTGGAGTCATCGTTCCATTTAGGGATCGATTTACCAATCTTCTCTCGTTTCTTCCGCATATGCATCGGTACTTGAAGCGGAAAGGCATTCCTCACACTTTCTATATTGTGAATCAGGCCGATGATTACAGGTGCATTATTATTTCGAATTCGCTTGATTCACTATAGCCTCTTCGTTCATTATTGTATTCTGACATTTGATTTCTCGGCCATTCTACCTGGCCATAGTAAATTGCTCTATTGTTTTCTGCGACATCTTCTTTATTTCCAACTTCTGCTAATGGTGGTTACCTATGAGCTTCGTATTTTCACCGGATTTTGAAACTGCATTTTAGCGAAATTGGAGTACTGAAACGGCTTTTCTTTGCACAAGGTTCAACCGTGGTTCTCTTCTAAACGTCGGCGTAAAGGAATCTGAAGTCATGGAATCACGTCACTTCGAATCTTCAAAATCAAGGCGGACCCGACCTCAGCCTGCGTGCTCAATGGTTGCCTTGCACGACGTTGATCTACTCCCTATAGATGATGCTTTGAGATACGAACACTTTGGTCGGCATCCATACCATCTCATACCGTACTGGATGCATCCATTGTACTACGCATATTCCAGTTACATAGGGGGTGCTATAATTATATCCCGTGAATCGTACAAACTAATCAATGGATTTTCTAATCGGTTTTGGGGTTGGGGTCAAGAAGACGACGAATTTGGACTCAGGATGCGTGAGGCAAACCTAGTGGTACGCACGCCATGCGAATTGAATACTCTTTCTAAACTCTAATATTGCTTTTGCAGATCCAGTCCGAGCGTAAACCAACAGTTATTACTCCAAAGTTTCAACACCTACACCCAACAGCTTATAAACGTGAAAGAAGTCCGCATGATGCCCAGGTGAAAAGGCACTGGCCACTTTTAGCTAGCATTATCAAAAGTTTAAACATTTAATGCTCATTACCGTGTTGAAACTACGATAATTTATCGTTATCTAACTTTTAGGCAACACATTTGCGCGATCACACGTCAGGATTGAACACTACTCGGTACACGGTCCTCTCTCGAATAAGCGCAGAAATATCAAATGTAAATGTGTGGATATTGAATGTGCAACTACACTGCGACACCCTGACGACGCCTCACTGTCGACAAGACGCATGAAAATTAGCTAAGACTGAGAATTCCGAAGAAATTGCATATATTTACCACATAGATGACAAAGTCAACCGAGTAATCGTTCCCACAGGAGGTCCTTAATGCCAACATGTGATTAAAATCGACGTACTCCTGATGCCTTATTTTGCTTTGCTTGCGTTGTTCCGGGGAAGTACGTTATGGTGAATCGATAGGGTGAAACCTCCGGCATGGAGAAATCGATGACAGTGTCACATTCACTTTGGGAGCTCCCCAGTTCGGGTAAGGAACTTTCGGACGTATTAATGCAATCAAGGACGTATAATAGCTCTCCTTTGAGTTGGGACGCTAGTTCCGGACGACGTTCGGTATCACCTTGAAAATAAAGTTTGACGACGAATGCGCATATCCATGGAGAAAAGGTAGGTAGATAACAGTCAGCGCACGTACCTGATGTGGTTGACTGCAGTTCAACGTTAAAAACCCAGCGTTCCCAGGCCGACGGTTCAGACCCGAGCACCCAACTACCTTTACGGTTAGCAGCAAACGTCAGTGCAATGCAACCTCTAGGTGGTTTTGCGTATCTATTTTCGAGCTCCTCATGGAGAGCTCTTGCGAAAACCGCAACTTGATTGGCGATACGTTCATGCAGTGGGTCTGAAGCCACCTTAATCTACAGTATTTGTAACGTTAGAGAGCTAAGAGAATCAAATGCACTTATTCCACAAAGCGAAAGAGTCTGATTGACTTTCTTACGTAAGTCAGATCAATAGTTTTACAGTCAACGTCTTCGATTCCTATGTAGGATGTATAACTGACAGCTCCGTCTCTAAAACTGAGCTAAAAAATTAGACTTGTGCTGTTTACAGTTGGGAATGTTCGGTGAAGTAGCACAGTGTGAAGAAAAGCTTGGAGAGCCTCCTCCACCTCGGAATGTCGTAAAACCTATGAAATTAACAGAGTGTTTGATACACTACCAAAGTTACGGTGTACTCCCTAAGACACATCACACCAATCATTATTAAGGCCTCCAAAACTCAGTCATTAAGCAGCACATACAAACAAGTAAAAAGGCAATCTAACTTTGCCTTTTTAGTGTTTGGTTTAAAAAAGAATAAGCAAGCTTAATTGGACTGGTGAATTTGTCGCAACCTAAGGTCTAAAGTTTTAGACTGGAGTTTCTTGTGGTGTAGCGTCCTGAGACTTCCCGTTGAGTGGCAAAGGTAGTAAGTGAAGCTAAAAGTACGTATTCCTAAGGGAGCAGAGCAAATGAAGCTGAGCATGGCCCGAGGGCTAGGTAAATCATAAAGTGATCGACAAACATCATGTAGTCACATAAACAAAGTAAACACTAACCACCTCTTCTGTTAATCAACG